AAAAATAATAATAATTGTTATATTTAATCTTGATTTGGGATTTTGAACAGACTCATTATTTTCTATTCTGGCTAATCCCTTTGGTTGGATAAAAAACTTACTGTTTAAAGCTGTGGTATCAATGAAATATCACTTTTGTAGAGTAAAGGAAAAGAGATTCTTGACTAATTGCCTACTAATTATAGCTTTCAAGTTCAGTAATATTAAATTTGTAGTTTCTTTTAAAGATGGCAATTACAGAAATTTTATGTTAAACTACATTGGAATCAGTAGCAGGAAATCTTCAACTCAGGGTTACCAGATTTTGTTTTTGAGACAGGGTCTTTGTGTAATTGAGGCTACGTAGCCCAGGTGGCCTTGAACTCATGAGTATCATCTTGCTTCAGCCTCCTGAGTGCTGGGATTATAGGCATGTGCCACCACACCCACCCTAACATGTTATATCTATTACTATATGTTGCTGCATTCTCCTCTTAAACATAGATATTATCTGCTATATATATATTGTACCAGCAAATTTCTTGCTTTATAGTATATGTATGTTTCAGGTTAAAAGTTTAATACCCTATACAATTCACAAATGAACCCTTCCTATTGTCATCTATATTTTAAATGAATTTATTTTTACTTTAGGTGCAAAAGGAAGTTACCTCCATGACGTCCTGGATGTAAACATTTAGATTTGGTATAGAATAACTATTTGAAATTTTATCATACTAGTGTAATAGAAATGTACTTGTTTTTCTTTTACTATTGTATATTCTTGTATATATTATGTACTTCAGTGTCCAAAATTGGCTATTTTTTGTTTTAATAAAGACTAACATAAACTTAATGGTTAAATGTGATTAGGTTTAATAGCTATTCATTTTATACCTATTTTCTAAATTTTACAAGAACATATGTCACTTATTGCCATTTTTTAAAGAGAAAATTGATAATCTCTTTAGGGCAAACAGATAAGGTTGATAATCTTTGTATTGTATCACTTTGAAAGAAATTGTTTAGTATGGAAAAAGAATAAGAGGTGACTTTCCAGTTTTATGTTAATACATTAGATTTGTTTTTCTGTTTTTTCATGTTGTACATAGTTAATTATGTCTGTAAATAAATTTCTTGTATGAGATTTCTATAATACAGAGAATTTCTCCTTATTCTTGCTGGGTGACTGACAAATGTTAGTCCTGTGTGACAACTGAATACTTAGATATTTGTTATTGTGTAGTTATAACTAAAGTGAATTGAATTATATGTTACTATATTTGAAAATCTTATATATACAATTTAGGCAGGTAGAGTTTTGGTTTATGTTGTTTATTGTCTTCAAAAGAAAAATGTAGAATTAACTTTTTTCTTGAGGAAAATTAAAAAAAAAAAAATATATATATATATATATGTATGTTAGTTTAGGCTGCAATCCTTCTGAATACTGGTATTACACATGTGCACCACTGTGCCTGGCTTTTATTTATTTATTTATTTATTTATTTATTTATTTAATTTTTTGAGACAAGGTCTCACTATGTAGTTCACCTGGCCTTGAACTCACTATATAGTCCAGGTTGGCCTCAAACTCATGGTGATCCTCCTGCCTCAGCCTCCCAAGTGCTGGGATCACAGGCATGTGCCACCACACCTGGCCTGTGTTTGGCTTTTAAAAGATTACTTTTTAAAGATTCTGTGTTTAAGCTGAGCTTGGTGGTACATGTCTGTAATTCCAGTTGCTCAGGAGGCTGAGACAAGAGGATTCCAAGTTTGAGGTCAGCCTGGCCAACTTAGTGAGACTTTGTCTCAAAATAAAAAATAAAAAGGGCTGGAGATGTAGCTCAGTAGTTTGGCTCTTGCCTATCATGTGTGAAGCCCTGAATTCAATCTCCAGTGTTACCAAGAAATAAAAAAGAGGGGCTGGGGATTTAGCTCAGTGGTTCCAGTGCCTGCCTCACAAGTGCAAAGTCCTGAGTTCGATCCCCAGTACCAAAAAAGAAAGAAAGGAAAAAGAGACAGGGTTTAGAATTCTACTTGGAATTCTTTGCTATGTTATACTTTCTTCCTTAAAGCAAATTTGTCAAGATTGAGCATTTTTCATTTGGTTATTGGTTGTAGTGTTAATTCAGAATGTATTATTGTATTATTGAGCTATCGGCATGTATTAGACACTAAGCTGTGTCATGTGGGAACTGAATATTACTTGGAAAATGAACACATTCAGTGATAACTATTCATTTTTTTCCCAAAACTTCAAAAAATGCCCCTGAAGTGTTACAGTTTTTTGAAAAGGCTTTGTTAGTTCTATTATTTTTTAAAAATACTTGAAAGCTTTAGAATACACATGATTTTCTATGACCAGTGGTTTAATAGCCTTAAACATTCACTAATTTCTCAGGAATGGAGAAAAATTAATCAGGCCAATCATTCACATTTAAATCCATAGCAATTTGAACATTATTTAAAATGTAATGAATAAACTGGAAAATAAAATGTTTTAAAGCTTTTTAATACCATCCTTACCTACTTGTCTTTAAAAAAATTTTTTTCACTTATTCTTAAAATTGTGGTATTGTTTATTTTGGTAAGAAAGAAGTGTATGCTAGAGTCCTAAAGTGGCAGAACAGTGAGTGTTAGCAACTCAGCTTGTTCAGGACAAAATATCTACAGAATCTGGAAAACAATAGCTTGGAGAGGAACCAAAGTGAGTGGAGTTTACCTGGTAACCACAAGGGAACAGACTGAGGAGAAGAAAGTAGGGTAAAGTGATACCGAAGAAATAGATCATATGTGGAGGAAAGACTGCAGTGCTGCCAGTGGCTGGCTAACTACCAGCTGGAAGGCAAAGTGAAACTAACAACTTGTGCTCATGGAGAACCAGAGAACTGCATCAAGACCAAAAGAACCACCTGCGTTTGGAACCAGCAAGGAAAGTGTGGAACACTGCTTCCAGTGTAGCCTTCCACATCAGCAGTTGGTGAGTGACCTCTGTACAAGAGCCTGTAGCTACAACTGGAGCAAGAGTTGTCAGGAACACCATTGTAGGGAAAGGCAGAGTGTTTGAACCTGGGTCCCAGAGCAGTCCCTTGGCTGCTTCACACTACCAAATTCCCAGAGTGGATAAGGGAAAGACAGTCATGGGAAACTGTTGGCAGTTGGAAAGCAGACTGGGAGAGGCAAGCACTGGTGAATACAGACTTGGCTCCCATGGTCAGAGGCCAGGTTCAGCCACAGTTACACAGGATTATACATTGGTGCCTTATCTTCACTGTAAGCAGATCTCTACACCCAGCACTGTTCTGGGGACAGACTTCCACCTTACACTTCAGCATGAACAGGGACACAATCCTGGCTTGAGCTCTGCTCCTCAGCCTTAGGGTGAGGAAAAGAGCCATACATCCAAAACAATAAAAAAACTTTCTTAAATTAATCTTTGATTGTATTATTTTTTCATTTTTGATTTTTATTTTAAAAAATTTATTCTTTGCTCTTTTCCTCCTTCTGTACATTTTCCCCCCACACTTTTATTATTTTACCCCTTTTCCTTTCATGAACATGTCTATGTATGTGTTCTTCTCTTTTCCTTTTTTCTCCAAATATAGTTTATAAAGGGTAAGGGAATTCTCCCTTTATTTTATTTTATTTTTTTTGTTACCAAGGATTGAACTTGGGACCTTGTGCTTGCAGGGCAGGCAGTGGAACCACTGAGCTAAAACCCCGGCCCTCCCTTGTCACTTTATATCCCTCATACTTTTATCTATATCTCTTCGCCTCACTTCTTTGTCCTGGGTCTTATTCATTCTGTTTTTCTTTTCTTTCCTCTCTCCCTTTTGTCTCCTTTTAAGTTTTTCTCTACTATTAAGATCAGTCATAGAATCTTTGTTGTTTATTTTAGTATATCCTTTTAGGTGTACAATATAATGACATTCATCATTGAGTCATAGAATCTTTTTGCATCCCCATTTCTCACTACCAATTTTATATCCAATTTTCCATTATCCGCTTCTGAATATATAACATACCCTTACCATCATTTGGATCCTTTGCTCCCCTTCTATTTCCTCCTTTCCCATGGCACAGAACAGAGGTCTTAAACTTTTTTTTTTTCCTTCCACCATTGGGCATTACCCAGTCCCCAAATCCCTGGGCTTTAGATAACTGATGCTGTAAAATTACCATTGAATGCTGTTTTTCACCATTAGAGGAGATAACACCCATTGCATTTAGTGCACAGTAACTATTGATCAAGATGTGGGTTAAGATGCTTGCACTATAACCATAGATTTCTTCTCTAGGCTAAAGGAAGAACCAAAACAGGGTTTCTTGGTATGTTATTTCTCAACTAGTCCTGATATCACTGTAATGGATTAGCCTGTTATTATTGTAATTTATTTGATTGCATAGGAATAATCCTGAGTGGATAATTTTGTACCACTGAACCTGTCTGCCAAATCCACCATCATGCCAAGGGAGAAGGACAGCAAGAGTTCCTAACGCAAGAACTCGACTCTGTCAGACTCTGGAAGAATGCCTGCAACCTGTTAGAAAAAGTCCTGAGTCTGAGTTAGCTTCAGTATTGCAGTGGAGGTATCAGAGGAGTTACTGGGGCATGAGCACTCAAACTCTGGCAAAGAAGTTCTTTTGGAATCACGTATACAATATCTCATTGGAATATTTTATTATATGTGCTGCTGAAGCAAGCACATCTCATTGGAATATTTAATGTCATTGACATCTTACAGGTTTAATTTAAAATTTGAGGGCCAGGGATTTAGCTCAGTGGCACTGTGCTTGCCTTGCAAGTGCAAGGTTATGAGTTTAATTCCCAGTACTTCAAGAAAAAAAATTGAAGGGGGGGGGTATGGTTTTTGATTTACTTAGAAATAAGGGGTTGTGTTCTTTTATGGTTTCCTGTGTTTATTAGGTTGTTGGTTTTGTGTATTTGTTCTTTCATTAGCTGAGATTTAATAGATGTCTAAGTTTTCTCCCTTGTCTCAGCTTCCTAATTTCTTTATATCAAATTCTTCAGACAATACTATTAACATTTATTTTTCCAAACATAAACTCCTCCTCCTACGTTTTTAAATTCCCCATATTTAGGTCCCTCACAGTTACTCCTACATTCTTTAGTATTATTCCTTGGTCCTCTCCATCCTAAGCCTTTGGCTCTTCCGTATCTTACCTAGCTTATTGTCCTATCAGCAAATTCTGGCAACCACATAGCTTTCCTTAGTCACAAAGTAACCCCCCCCCCTTTCTTATATATCTCAACCTTACCCAACAAAATATCTTCTGAAAACTCAATACTAAACCTTCCACACAACTAAAAGGACTCCAGTAAAATCAGACCCCATATCAACCTCTCATCTACTACCATTCTCCCCTTGAAACCTCCTTATCCAATCACCTCCCTTTCTCATTGCAGAACAACCACAAACAATAAAATGCCATAGTGTACATAAATAACTGTAAGGACTATCATAGAATTGTAAAATTGAATCTCTGAATGCTGTTGTAACCAGAAATAATTGTTTTGGCAAAACATAGGGACAGAATTGAATTCACTTAAATAACGGAGAAAACACTAGCACTGGACATACAAACTGAAAATTACTCACTGGGAGGCAACATCCTGTGAAAAATCTCCATATAAGCCACAAACTCATAACTTTCTGTAGTCTCCAACCGTCAGAAACCACCCCTCCCCAAAAGAAGGACAAAAAACACATACACATAGGAGAATGTGAAAGCAAGGAAATAGACGATCTCTGACCCCTCCCCCCAAAAATTCTCCCAAGGCAGAGCAAGGGGTTACAAGGGAGAAGAACACAAATGCCAGGTAGCAGAAGTCTGTCAAAAGTTTATAGAAGGAATGATGAAAGTAGACGAGTTCAAAGAGGAACTAAAAGTTCAGAGCAGTTTCACTCAGTATGTCCATAGTGAAATTTGGGGAAACAAAAAACTGGATGAGCTAACCAAAATGGTTCAAAATTTGAATGATAAATTCAACAAGGAAATTGAACCCTGGACATTCATACATTGCAGAAATGACCAATGCAAAGACAGTGTCTGATATTGAAGACAAAATAGTGAATTATGGTAAAGAGCTCAAAGAAACCAAAAAGAAAATTAGAGCAAGAGAAGACTATC